TGATGCAAATCTCGTATAAAATTCAAATTATGACGATTTTCGATCTAATTGGCAGGTTGTAAAACTTAATGGGATTTAATTAATTTCGCCTCAAAGACTAAATACGAATGAATATGTTGTAGAAAATCTAAAATATTTCAAGGTGACGAAAGGCCAGTAAGTAGGCTTAGAATATCTATATTTTGAGTTGTGTAAACATATTTGAAAATGATGTCATTTATGACAATTTCAATTAGAAAATAATACAATTATATTATACAATATTAATTTTAATTATTACAAATTGTCACCATAATTATATAAATTATGTGTGTTTAACGTGTATTTTTAATAATACAATTATGTCGAGCATAAAATGAAGAAACAAAATTTTTTAAATTTGTAGTACTTATACATGTTAATCATTATATTAAAAAATAAAAAGTATATTCGGTACTTTCTTTCTCTTAATTTGTTCCTTATATAACTTAGTTTATAACTTAATTTTATTGTATAACATACTTACATGGTAATAGCAATCTATTAGGAAACGTAGCAGGGTAATTATGCAATTTAATTGAACATACATTCTGATCGTACATAATAGTTTGTATAAGAATTTGTGATTTTTTAAAAACGATAAGATTTAAGTGAGTCCTATACAATTATTTTTCAATAAATTACCATTAGTTCCATTGGATCGTTATTTCTCTATTATACAATAATAATAAAGAATTGTCGTGATCATTTTATTATTTTAATGTAGATATAGTAATAATAGTAAGAGAGAGAGAGAGAGAGAGAGAGAGAGAGAGAGAGAGATATGGAATATGCAAGGAATAAAAATTTAGAGTTTGAACATTAAAATATATAATCTTCGAATGTATAGTAAAAGAATATTATTCCCTTTAAGTCAAACGAGCCGTCAATCGACCATCATAACCTGCTTACAATTAGTTGAGTGATAAGGATAGGGAAAATACGCGACTAAGCATGGATTTAAAGAGGCAATAACGTAAATGAAATTTGTATTTGCAGCTTAAAGGATAAAAGAGAGTTAATGGTACTATTTGTAAATTTTTTCTAACGTCGTACGCTTAGGGAATAGATTTAAAATTTACTGTCACCTTCTATCTTTATCCATATTCGAGTAATGTTATATATATATATATATATATAGACAGTATTTCGCATCGTATTTAGGGGCGTAATAATGTGGGAGAGTAAAGGTCGGTACTTAGCACGTATTGAATATTTAAAGCGCCGAAGGGCTGGCCGATGGTGAATCTGTCCTTCTCTATTCATTGAAAATTAAACTAGAGCTGTAGTATTTGCAGGCACGTGTATTTGCAATTCCATTGATTAATTAACAAGCCATTATTGCGAATTGCCGGTGAATTTGAATAAGCTCGTGTAGTCACGATGGGCGTGTACTGGAGGCCCTTGAATGACGTAACGCTACATGCGGTTGGTTGGCACTTGGTGTTAGTGATGATGGGCAGCAGGGTTGATTGGTCGATAATCGGCTCTGTGGGCGCTAGATCGCGTCTATTCCAACGGCGTAACTATAGTCGGGTTAGGATGGCCGAATGGCCGAAAATCTCTCTTCGCTGATCCTTTGCTAATACTCTCCCATCCATTGTAAGTAACGTGCCGCAGCTTAACGTCGAGACCGCGAACGGCTAAAGAGAAAAATGGACGGCGAGTATCAGCCAAGGATCAGCGAAGAGGGATTTCCGACCATTCGGCCATCCTAACCCGATTCTAGTTACGCCGTTGGTGACCCTCGGCAACTTTTACCGATCGATCTGACGAAAAAGAGCGTACTGGCCATTTTTAGAACCCCACGGCCTATCATTATAATCCTACTACTCCCACCAAGTACTCAACCCCACCAATAATCAGTACACTCGCGTATATATAAATTTACATTTAAGTACCTAATCAACCCGTTTGAATATCCATCGCGCACATTGACAATTTTGCTTTATCCTTCCTATTTTTAACCCGTTATTTTCGCTATTTCCTAACGATATTTTCCAACAATCCCACTTACTTTCTTATACAATAGGCATCTCTTGCATTGCTATCTCCCTCCTATCATCTCGCCATCTGCTCCCTACATTTACTTTACCGTATCCATTTATTATCCGCACATTAAATACAATTACGCATGATCGTTACGAGTACCGTCATTGTCACCCACAATTATACTATTTCCAAATATTATACAGGACCATTTATTTTTAAGAAAAAATACACGTCAACGAGCAACAACGTTAAATCAACGCCATTTAATCAGCCGAATGATAGTGTCTTTTAATTATTTCAAAACCTTACACATACCTCTTCCTACGCTGTATTTCATTCGAATTCCGATGTATAAATAAATCCGATATCATTGAACGGCAATTGATGTTTTACAATGTGCAAAAATAAGTTACTTAAGAATAAATTCATTAACTTTGTTAATTGAATTTCATTAAAATTATCAAATAACTTACTTAAAATTATTTGCTTCCTTCACTTATAATCTACAATATAAATCGAATAATCAAATTTTAATTAATAAGCAAACGAAATACGATTATTCAACAATATTCAAGTCCAATAAAAATTTTCCATTAGCCTATAAATAAGATTTGTTACAAAACATAAATTTGTACAACGTCACCAATTGTTTAAATACGCCTCTTAATAATTCAATGCTATCGGGCGTATAAATGTAGTTGTATTGAATAGAAAAAGCAGGGAAAGCTTTCAATTTCAGACATCGTTAAAATTGGTTTCTATTGCCTATAAAATGTATTAATAATCACCTCATTCGTCAATTATTATTTTCATACAGAAGAACGCATAAACGTTCGTCTCATTGTCTATAATATGGAATTAAGCACGAATCGATACGAGAAAATTTATTCGCAATATTCGAAATAATTTGCCAACATTAAAAATACCATTATTAATAACGCGTTGCCAAGTGAATAATAAAATTAGCGAGAAAGCCTTGTAAAAGACGCATTAATGCCAATAATGAAAACGTTTATGATATTTCGGAGTAATTAAATACAAAGTTCCAAATTTTGCCGACCACATATGTCAATGCAAACGTAAAAAATAATTACGGAAATTCAAACACACGACGACGAGGACGACGACGACGACGACGACGAGGACGACGACGACGACGACGACGAGGACGACGAGGATAATAAGAAAATCAATATCGATAATAATAATAATAATAATAATAATCGTAATTAAAGTTAACGTAATTTAATGTAGCGCTCAAACTTTTTGTTTTGTGCTAAATTTACCTATGTTTCTATAAAAATGCAGCATACGTGCAAAAAATACTTTCAAACATGCCAATCATCAAAAGAACCGATATTATTACGACATATTATATTGTAAATATTTGATTTGCAGTCATTGTCTATTTACGATGCTTAAATTATTTTCAAAATATCACGAGCTACGGCATTGTGAAAAGCGTAGTTTAAGTAAAATTGTTGAATTTCATTCAACGGCAAGTTTGAATGAAGCTTTTAATTCGCAAATTTTATTATCCATGCGATTGAGATTGTTAATGGTCGACAGTCGAATTTTACAAAATTTTTTATTAATACATTAACAGACGTGAACGGTAGAAGATTTCAATAAATTAATAAAATTTATAATAAATAATTTTAGTGGCTACAGTTTTACTATATATATATATATATATATTGTTAATTATTGCTTGTGAATCTATAAACTTTTTAAAACTTACAGAATCAATATTTGCTCATAAATTTGTTTTATGAAAATAAGAAATTCTATCGTTGGAAAGTTTTTCTATCATTAGACACGTGAAGTAGACGAAGTGCATTTAAACTGTAAGTTTCGCGTATAGAATAATAAACAAACGTTAAAAATGTTTATTTTTAAAAAAGTTTTAAAAAGAGGATGACACGAGTAAGCCTGAAATTAATTAAACAACAGAGTATAAAATTGTTTAACGAAACAACTGGAAAGTATCTGAAAGGAACTAATACTCTATTTAATATTTATCAATTATCCGATCCAGTCATTATGTAAATATAAAAATTTTATACTAAAATTATGACAATACGAGATATTACTTAAGATAATCATATATTATATAAGAAATATATATTGAAAAATAATATTACGATATTACGATCCTCCTGAACGGATGTATTGTCTTATTGCACAAGAAGCGCTTATTTAAAATTGTTGCAAAATGAGAATAAAATAATTACCCTACCGAACTTTTAAAATGAATTGATTATTTTCTTTGACGTAGAAATGACGCTTCAAAAAATAGAAAAAAAAAACTAAATTTTTTTCACTAGTAACTTAGTTAATTAGAGCAACGATAATTCATTATTGCATAGAATAAACCGTAGGTATTGTCAAGCAAAAAATAAACAATTTATTGACTAAAAATCAAGCAATTTGAGTAGTCGATTGATTTTACCCATTAAAGTACGAACAATAATTTCATAAAAAAATAATTTCATTAATAATACAGACAATTATTTCTATTAAAACAAAAAAAAAACAAAAAAAAAATATATATATATATATATATATATATATATATATATATATATATTGTTAATTTACATATAAAAATTATTGCCCCTGAGATGGATAAAATATAAATCTACGTCTTAAAAGTATTTTTTTTTTATCTTCATTTCAGTTAATTATTTTCATTTGAAAAGAATTAAAGTGTCTTTTTTTTTTGTTTATCAAACCAATATTAAAAAAAGAAAAAGAAAAAAAGATTAGAAATTTTTTTTTGTTACAGATTTTGAATATATGACGCATTAGATGAAAAAAACGGAGGGGAAAAGAAAATTACTAACCAAAAAAACTCGTAGATATGAATTTTTACAAATTTTTATCGTTACATAGCAAAAGAATATTTACAAAAGTCTAATTTCTTGGCAATGATATCAAAGGATACATTTGTCATTAAGACAATAATAAAAAATATACAACTATAATTATTTAAAATGCTTCTCTCACTTTCGTCAATTATTCTCGTCGGTCGCATTAAAAATTTAATTTTCAACAACATTAAGGTTTCGTAGTACTTTTAATAAAAATCTTCTTCCGCGGTCGCCGAGTTGGACGAGACTTGATTCTTTATTTGTTCTTGGCTCAAGTACATGTCGGCTATTTGTCGTGCTGACGTCGCATCTTCGCAGTTTTTATCATCTCTGATGCGTATGAATCTTGGAAATCGCAGGGATATTCCCTTTTCCGGGTCGACGATACCCTTTGCTGCCGCATGCACCGGCGATAAGGACAGATCCGCGCATTTCACTTCCCATATCAATTTTGCCTCGAACCAATGGTCTGGCTCGAGACTGGAGTCACAACGGTAATATGGCTTTTGCTCGTCTATAAGGCATTCCTTGAGGGCGTCCGTATGCTTGGCGAGATCGTCTTCGCTGAAGCCCGTGCCGATTTTACAAATACTCTGATATTCTTCGTTTTCGTGATCGTAGCAGGCGAGGAGAAAGCCGCCGTAGGTGCCCGTTCGTTTACCTTTGCCCAAGTAGCCGCCGATAACGACCAAATCCAACGTATCACCGACACCCTCCAAATAATCTTTCTTGAGTTTCAGCCAATTTCGAGATCTCTTGGCAATCTCGTAAGTGGCGTCTTTATCTAGAGTTTTTATCATCAGACCTTCGCAGTTTCCCTTTATAGATTCATCGAGAAAATCTTGCACTTCGTCTACAGATTTCACGTCCAAATTTTTTGCAAAGAACCACTCGCCTTCAACCTCCTTGAAATGTTCCTTTAACAAATCCCGACGCCTTTGCAGTGGCTCTTCAACCAATGCTTCCCCATTAAAATATAACATGTCGAACATAAATACACAAACTTGAACCTTAATTTCGGCTTCGTTTGCATCCTTACGCTTTCTCGTGCTAAGGATCTGGAACGGCAGAATTTGCTTCTTCTCCTTATCCCAAGCGACAGCCTCGCAGTCCAATACGCAACTTTTAACCGATTCATTTCGTGTATTTGATATTCGATTAATAATATCTGGATATTTACTGGTATTGTCCTCTTGATTTCTGCTATATATCTTGATCGTGCCATCTTCTAGGATGTGAATTTGCGCCCTTTCGCCATCGTACTTATATTCGCAAGTAAACTTTAATCCTTCGAGCCGGGTAATTACCTCTTGTATACCCTTTGTTGGGTGCGCGAGCATAGGCTTCAGAGGAATTCCTGGCGTAAGCTTGCACTCCTTCGGTAATTCTTGGACTCCTTTTCCCAAGAGAATTGGAATTATTTTGTTATAACTGGGACATTGGCAATAGGTCGTCTTAATAATCAAAGACGTTTCGTCTAATTTTTGTTTAAATTTATCACTAGACATGCCTTTGGAAGCGTTCAATATTTCAAACGGACGGCTTTGCTCTGGGGGTGTCATTGCGCATGCCAAAGCCAGAGCTTGCAGAACAGATTGCTCGGCCAGACCTATTCTAAGCTTTCCAGCAAGAGATCTAATTAAATATCGCGCTTCTGTATAGCGACAAGCTACGAATAAAGATTGAATCTTGTCAACTTTCTTCATTCCCGAAGCTGTGCCGGTAGTTACAGCAATTTCCTTTAATTTTGTAAATACTGAACTGACGGTTAGCGGCGGTGGCTGGAACATTGTTTTCTGATTGGAACGACTTCCTTCTGCAACGATTCCTATAAATAAATTATAATTTACATACAGTTTACAATGCAATTCATCTAACTACATTAGAAAATTACGATGAAATTTACAATGAAATTTCTACTTAATCGTCTAATTTTTATATTTGTTTCAAGATTTGCCTAAGCTAATCCAAGTCAATAATAACATTATATAATAATAATCTTTTTCTAATAGAAAATCAAATTTTATATAATTTAATTATTATTTTACTATACATTGTGAACATTTCTTTTATAAACTTTAATAAATTGAGTGACCATGCTCGTTTGATAAAAAATGATAATTACAAAATATAATATTAATAAACTCATTTACTTACCAAGATCACCGACTTTTTGTAATTCAGCTTTAATTTGCGCGATAGTTCTACCAGTTGAACTAGCAATGGCTTTCATTAAGTTGGTTTCTGCTATTCCTAATTCTAATCCTTCGTAAGCTGGTGCAAGTTGATTCAAGCACAGATATACACTGGCTAGTAAGTCATTTGGGCTTAAAACTATCACAGAACGAAAATAATTTGATAATATTTCAATTATTTTCAATCTAGCGCTAATTCCTTCGATTAGCTCAAATGTTCGCGTTAATGCAATATAGGGCACTTTTTGTCCTTCTTTCCAAGAGGCATCGTTGACCGGATGATACGAGGATGCCATAGGATTATAATCACTTTCTTCATTAACTTTTTTATTTTTTGCAATTATAGAATTGCCATTAGTAATCGATTGCTTTGACGATGGAGATTCTTTCTGAATTTTTTGCTCTTTTTCTTTACCGTCGATGTTCTTTACATCCTTTGACGATACATTCTTATCGCTTTTTGTTAACACAACTGTTTCATTTATCTCTGATTTGTGATTCGTCGTGTCGTCTTCATTGGATTCATCTTTCTCCGTGACCTTTTCAAATTCTTTTGATATTGACGATTTTACCAATTTATTTTCAACTTTTACATCTTCTTTTTCAGGCGAGCTATCGTCTGTATTCGATGCTTCCCCGTCGTCGATAGCATTTTTGCTAAATTTTTTGGAATCAATTTTAATACTTTTACTTTCCTTTATAGAATCATTATTATCAAACTGTTCATCGCTATAAGCAAAACATTGTAATTTCTTAAATGTTTTGGATTTATTAAAATTACTTTTTGAAATGCTTTTCTCTCGAATGACATCCCTATCTTCATCCGATGGGGCTTCAGGCTCTGTCGAATCATCCCTATCATTTTTCTCTTTCTCATTATTAACTTGATCATCACTTTCCAATAAGTCTTCGTTATTTTTTCTTGTTCTTTTTAATGCTCCAGATTCCACGGACTCTTTGATCTTTTTTCGTTTTCCACTAGAGATACTTTTCTCATCATCGGATGAGGTGTCTGAGTCCACTAAATTTTTAATCCTATTCAGTATCGCTGATTCTTTCTTCATATTTTTAATCCGCGTAAATCTTCCATTTGATAATTCATCCTCGGATGATGAGTCCGATTTTTCATCGCACACTTTCGCCTTCTGATTCTCCTTTTTCTTTTCAACATCATTGCCCTTCGATTTCTTTGAAGGCTGTGAGTTTTTCACATTATTCAAAGATTTTTTGCGTTTTTCATTATGCTCGTTTTTATCCGTTTTAGCTCTACCACTACTTACCAAATTCTTCGAAGCCGTAGTCTTTTTAGTCTCGACATTTTTATTCTTAGTTTCCTTCTCGCCGAGCACATCCTGTTTCTTGACTGTTACCTCGTTGTTTTTATTTTTTTCATCCTTCGTCTCAGCTTTTAAATTTGTTCGTGTAAAAAACGACGTGATACTCCTCTGGGACATTTCCGAGCAAATCTGTTGTCACTCCTTTAGGTTAAATCAATTTTCGACGATAGTTTCGCGCCAATTTGATCTTTGGATTTACCGAACAAACACGAACGAATCCGTAGTTTATCGAACGAAGAGCGGAAAGTTGTTATTATTGGAGTGGGGCGGCGCGCCTCAGGGGAAGGGGAAAATTAAAATCGCTTGCGCATTAAATCGAAGCTGAGCAGTTCTTTCGACGTGCACATATAATTATTAAGCTGCACTTACATAGTTAAGTGCACATTATCTTTGCCTGTGTGCGTCTGCGTGCGTCTGTGTGCTTGCACACAGTGTTCTACGTACATAGTGTTATATTGGATTTAACGAGGTATCTCGTAACGATAAAACTTTCTTATAATATTAATTTATAATATAATATCTAAATAAATATGGCCTCTCGCGCTATATGTTTATTTAAATTTTATGTAAAAATAATTCGTAGTCATTTTTAAATACTCATTCATTACATTGAAATTATTGGTACAGCAATTAAAACTAATTGTTAATTATACTTTTATAAGACATTGTTTATTGCCTACGTATAAGAATAGCAATACACTAATAAAAATGTACGTGCCTTTAGATTGAAGTAAAAGGATGTTTTTTTAGACTTTTAAACAAATCTTTATTCTATTTCAATGAAATATATAAAGATTAATCGAAGCACGATGCTATAACGATATTATACGTTTGTATAAAGTGTTTTTATGAAAAAGTTGTCCAAAGCTTTATATCCTTTTTCTATTACATAATTATCTTGTCTTACTAATATTTATATAAATAATATGAATATGTGAATAATCGATAATAAAATCGAATCGATAATAAATATATGAATATATGAAAATAATATGAATGAAATAATGTAATAATGAAGTTATTAGTAATGAATTGTATCAATGTAACAAATCACAGATTGTAAAAATAAAATTTTGTCTACGTACGATAAATATAAAAATTGTTGTTGTTATTATTATTTTTTTTTTTTTATTCATTATATCGCGTAAACATTAGTATAGATTATTCATACAAAGATAATTATACAAATATAATGTATTGATATCAACTTTAATGTTATATTAATGAAAGGCAATTATTTACACAGAACTACTGTTGAAAATTAAGACTAATTAAGAGAAATCATTATCCTATTATAAGTTACGTTTATAATAAATTATTAAATTATTAAACAATAAATGTTAATTATGCGGCTTAAAGAACGATGTACGAAATACGATAGATTAATCCGTCAACAAGCGAAGGTCTAAGTTATGGATTTTTTCTAAATAACATTATAGATTTGAAGCGTAAATTTTACACATAACAAAGAAATATTTGTCATTTGAAATATATATATATATATATATATATATGCATGTATACAAGCATGCATCTACATATACGTGTATGTATGAATGCATAAATGTAGAATGCACCGTATTCCATATTTTGAATGAAATAACTTGTAAAGTTTAATCGAAGCTGATTTTTATATTTTTATTTATAATTCTATTCTAAATACTGATATAAGTAGAAATGATATGTGAATTGGGTGAGTTAGGTCATTGCAATTTCTCTATTCCTTTATCTATAATATAGAATTATTTAAATTCTGTATTTATAATATGAGAAAATGTTCATTTATATTAATTATTTTTATCAAATCATCACTATGCTCACATCGATCAATGATACAAGTAGTCTAAACTATTTCTCAATCGATCATTATTGTAATAAATTTATAGAAGCTAGAAGATTTTAAATGATTACGATATTTTATATATAGACCCATCAATCAAGCACACTCACTTGCCTCTTAATTATAATTGTCAAATTGTATAATCAAATTGTTTATATGTGTTATTCAATTAATCTCCCATAATATAATAATTACAAATTTTTCAATTAAAAAATTTTCAAAATATCAAGTATACATTATAACAAAAAACAGTATTATTTTAATTTGGAGTTGCCAATGAAATATTATTTTTACACTTCTTTTTCATAACTCATAAAATGATATTATTTTATTAAAAAATAAATTTTTGTATTTAAATTGTATTTAATGATTTTAAATTATTTGCATTTAATATTATTTACTACAAAACAAATATTTAAACATTATTTATTGACATTATTTATGAAATTAATAAAGAAGGTATAATAATAAAACTGTATTGATATTTTATTTCAAAATTTAATTGCTAATAAAAGTATCTCAATTAATTTTAATTAAAATTAATAGAAATAGAAAAAATGCTAATTGTTAATTATCAGCCTCAACTATTATTATGTTCTACTACCGATTTTCTTTACTTTTTTTTTTTAATTTGATAATCTTGATTCTATTATGCACATTGACCCGAACTATATAATAGAGACAAAAGGAAATTAGTTGAAAAGACTTGTAATGCAAGTCATGCAAGTCGTAATGAATAGAATGCGCGTAAGAGTAACAAAGAAATTTGGGATGGGATTGTTGCGATAACAAATGCAATCGACAGGATGTTCATAAAGTAAAGCTTTTTATATTTACCATTAAGCTTTAATGAGCCTAATGCTCTTTTAATATTATTTTAAAGAGAAAATTTATTCACAAGTTAATAAGTCCATTGTGCTTTTATAAATGTCAATAGTAATATTTTAGTCTTAATGGAATATGTATTAAAAATTACTCATGTAGTCATAATTCGATATATAATACTTTTAAAAATGTTTAAATTTAATATTCATTCAATAGAAAATTATTTGATTAGATTTCATTTTACTTAGAAAAATATTATCTGACGGTTGTGATAATTTACCTGAATACATGAAACAAATACCACACGAATGCTTATATTATCCATAGAATCAAGTTACGTGGAATAAGAGTCAATTTTGGTTGTATATATTTTTCACTAATTTTGTTTTCGTATTTGCGCTTAAGTTTATCATGTTTATTTTGTAATTGTTCTGTACATCTAATTCGTTCGTTGTTACATACGTAGAAAAAAAAATAAAAAAAAATTGTGCAAAATTCACACGAGTTATTAGCGATTGACGATCGTACTTGATAAAATTATTATTAAAATTAACTTGTAAACTACTACGGATTTTTTTGAAAATCTAATTATTTAAAAGATTAGTATTTCTAATAATTAAATGACAAATGTGTCATATATATATATATATATATATATATATAATTTTATAGAGTGGATTAAGTGTAAATAGGCTTGGAATAAAAACACTATTTATTTCGTTCAGTCAATAAAGAACAATTTATTGAAAATAATCTAAATACAATTCGATGTAAGATCATTTTCTTTACTTCTTGTAGAGAAATTGAACGTTTTAAACAACGTATGTAGTAAAACAACGTACATAATTTACTTTAGGTAATGTTTTTTGTTCATATAACAAAATGAGCAAATCATGATGTTGGTATACGGTTTCATTCGTTTCTAAAGTATACCCTAATTTTAAATTACACGTTAAAAATCCTACAAAAAACTGCAATACATAAATAAAACATGAAAGAATCGAGTCCTTAAAGCGTTTACATATTTTATTTATATATTAAATTTTTTTGTCCTATACAAAAAAAAAAAAAGAAAAAAAAAAGAATATGCCAAAGTGATACTCAGTCCATTGAATTGATCTACGATAATACAAAGCTACTGTCTATTAAAGCTGAGACAAATTTTTATTTTCCATTTTTAGTATGATTTTAATGAAAGAGAAAAATAATAGAATGGCGAGTTTCAATAGAGTAAGTTACAATGAAGAACAAAATACGTAAAATGGTAAAGTGCACTTTGTGCCAAATTAAATGACCTTTTTCACGAGGTTTGTTGAATAATATAAAAATTTGATTGCTTTATAAAATCAATGCTACGAAAAAACTTTGAGCTCAAAGGTTTGCGCCTCTTACATAATGTTCGGTATTTATAATTTTATTTATTATAATGAACATTCTTGTGAGTCTTTAATATAGATTATGTATTTATAATTATTTTTGTTAGCTAGTATTATTACGTTATAAATAGACGATTAATGTACTTTAATTTAAATTTAGTTTATATAATTAATGACATATTTCTTTAGTAAATGAAATGAAATAACAATCCCGAAGGACAAAATTTATATATGAAAGTAGCATACTGTTATTATAGAATAATAATTTTTTTTTTTTTTTTTTTTTTTAAATTATTTTGTAATTGTAATTACAAATATATATAAATACATAATTATTAATATATAATACTATAGTGTAAATATACTCAAACTAGCAGTACAGACTTCATGTTCGTGTTCATGTGAAAACTAAGTTTTCATAAATTGAGAATCTTTATTGAATATAATTTTAAAAATAATGGATTTCGTAGCATTGCTTTTAAAGGAATCAAATCAGAAATATTCACGATATTATGTAACATAGTTTCTTCGGCGACACTGGGATACAAAAATTGATAAGTTATAAAGAATTAAAAGTTATGACGCTTTTCTTTTAATTCGTATTCACTCATTCCATTCTCTTCTAGGCATTTACAATTCTTACTGTTAACTTCCCTTTACACTTATACTGATCAAACAATGCCTATAGTTTAATTATAATCAGTACATATAAAGTTAAATTCAATATACATTAATTTCGTATTTCGGCATTTACAGTATTCTTCTTGTAACTTTTCCATATAAAAAAAATGACTCTTCCTAGAGTCTTACGTTAGAAGCATACAAGATTACTTATAAATTGGTCTATTCATTGGATTTTGGAGCAAAAGCATCAATCAATGACTGTTTTTCTGTCACTTATTTTCAAGGCACACTTATCGAAGGCTCTCATTCTTATCCAAACGCAGACTCTACACAAGATTTTTTTTACAACAAACAAAAGAGAATACATATATATATATATATATATAGATAGATAGATAGATAGATAGAGAGAGAGAGAGAGAGAGAGAGAGAGAGAGAAAGAGAGAGAACCTCATCGTACAGAACTCGTTATTGAAACTACTATTCATCACATTATAAAAACCATATGTGATCAAAATCTTTCACGATTCATGGCTCCATTTACTTTTATTTTTTAACAATTTTCTAACAACATTGAAAAACTTTATTTTATCTGTATCACAGATTTTTCCAATTTTTTCTTTTAATATGCATACAAAAACTCGCACTTTTTTACAAGGTAAATTCTCATTCGGTATGAGATTATAATTTTAAAAAGTCTTATAAAAATTATGTTTGCTTAATATTTTACAAAAAATTTAATATCCAAACTTCTCATAGGCATTAAAGAAACTTTCAATAGGTAAAAATATTGATGGCTTTAAAACGCATAATAATTGATATGTTTTTCAAAATTACTAGTTTTCTCTCTTTACAAGGATAACCATAATGCACGAATGAACATTTCAATATACATGCCAATATAAGGAAAAAAGAAAAAAAAAAAAAAAATTAATGTAGAGCCAGTCGTTGGAAAGAAATTCCAATTCGAATAACTTAAGGACCTTCAACTTACAAAGTTGAGCACGATGAGCTTTCAAAGTGAAAAAGTCTTTCGTCGATGTGGTACAAAAAGATTTACACATATATAATATATATCTCAATTGAATTAAATCTATCCGCTTGCTGTTCCTCCATCGAATAGATTTTTTTCATTAAATATTTGCATTTTAAATTAAAGCTAATGTACATTATTTCATTAATTAATTATTTCTTTTTCTTTTTATTATCTCTTAACTTTTACTTTTTACTACATATCTGAAATAATTTGCGCAGTTAGCTTGCTCTAGCCGAACGATTTGGCTAACCAAGAAACGCACTGATTTTTTGTTCCTTAATTCATACAAATATTACGTTTCGCTAAAAATTTATATACAAAAATCATTTAAGGAGAGATGTACAGTAAAAATCATTTAAAAGTACATTTATTCATTATATAAAAAATTTCTATTTTCTTAATGAATATTGTAAAAATCAGCTAAAAACAATAGTCGTTACGTTCATTGCGCAGTTGCATTTTTCAAGAAAAATCATAAGACACGTAGGTCGCTTTTGCAATCAGTTTTTTGAATATCGATAATATCCCTAAGAGATATATAAAAACGAGGCAAAGTCCTTCCAGTATTTGTACATATTATATGTAAATATCTTTTTCTTTGAAAAATTTTAATGTGACTATTATCTTACTATTTAAGTTTATAATTATTTAAAAATATTTTTTTAATAAAAACTTTACAAAAACACTGTTGGTTACAGCAACATTAGTCGAGTGAAATAATCGTTGATGTTTAGTGAAGCATTAGAAATACTCAATAATAATATTTCTGTTCTAAATTGCGCACCTTTGTAATGAAATTAACTGTAAGTTTCTCCCCTTAATATTCGCAAAGTTCATTATTTCCACCTATCGAGCCACATACATGCACGCATCATACAATCAAACAATATTGAATTTTCTTAACAACAACACTCGTTTAGATTTTACGGACACAAGGCTTTTTTGGATATAGCGAAACTGAAAAAACACTACAATGACGCTCGGTAATTTCGTTTCGTCATTGAATTATCACTTGTTCATATTTTCCATTTTATTAAATTGAATTTGAAATACGATTACAAATAAAAATAGTATTATTCAATTACTCTTTAGATCGTACAATAAATCATTACTAAAGAATATAAATAGTCTTAAGTTTAAAAATATGTACAAAATTTGGTTTCAAAATTTATTTTCATTAAATGCTTAGATATATTAATTAAAAAACAATCTCGGAAAGCACGTTTTATTGCTTTTATTTGTTGTCTATAATGTATGGGGGTTTTTTTTTGTTTTTTTTTGTTTTTGTTAAAAAAAAAAAAAAAAAAGAGTACGTACAAAAAACATTATTATCTCAAAAAGAATATTCATTTAAAAAATTCTTTCTTTTTCTAAATATGTTTGATAAAACATATTTTATAATTTACTTATTTAAAATGACTTTACCTACGGGCGATTTTATCAATTATTCGTATAATTATTTCAAAATTTATTATCTTTAAATTGTCGTGTAAAAAAGTGAAATATATATATATATATATCCGTGATAAAATTTACAACTGTAAAATTAAGAGACATATGTGTTAAACATATATTTGAAATATATATAAATTGTAATATGAATCTAAAAATTTCTTTTCAATTCTCGGCTCATTATAAAGCCTTAGCAAAAATTAGTTTTTCTTGAACTGTATGGAAAAAACTCTTAATCATTGATAAAACCACTTAGTAAATTAAATAAGCATATTCGTAGTAAGATAATAATTTGTATACGTGCTAAATTTAATTGAGAAAAATTACGTCATTATAGACAACTTTAAACAATCATAGAAAATCAATATATCGATATAGATTTTATTTTCATTATCCGATAATTTTCTATCGCAACGCTTACCGTTGCCGTACAAATTTATTTAATTTATATATGGTGGAAAAAGAAGAAGAAGAAGAAGAAGAAGAAGAAGAAGAAGAAGAAGATGAAGTTTCTTTACACTCTAACGAATATCCTATTGCTTGGATTACATCGTCACGAAACTCTTACTCGATAGTTGGATTATAATATTAATAAATGATTGTGTACATTGTTATGCATTTATTTAAATATTCGTTAGCAGAATAGATCTTTATACAATTTTATTTTAATTAACAGTGAAGCACATTGGCTGCTTTGCAAGCAACCACGAAGATATGTAAATGTGAGCTCAATAAATTTCTATTTTATTTTGTACACAAGTAGAATAAGGCTAGTACGAGGACATTCAATATTCCATCCTGCGCGTATATTTCTTTTTCCATCAAATTTTATAAGCATACGAATGATTCAAAAAAAAAAAAAAAAAAAAAAAAAAAAAAAAAAAAAAAAAAAAAATAAAAAATAAAAAGAAAATTGAAAAACAGCAATAATCAAACGAATTCTTCAAATAGATTTCGATTTAATGTGGATGAAAGAAAAATGATAGATGATTAAAATAAAAATTATACATTTAAACAGTTCATCTACTAATACGAAACAAATTTCAAAATTGAAGAAAATTTTATACATTATAAATTAAGTAAACTTTAAAAAAATTATTATAATCGCTATACAAACGTGGTATACATGGAAAATCTAACAGGAAAAACTATACTCTAGTATTTATATAAAAAATATGGTTGAACGTTTACAGCATTGACGAAAATCGTCTATAAAAAATGACTCCGTAACATTGCAATCTATTACAGTTTACTGCTATTTCTTATTTAAGTTCTGCCTGTCAGAAAATTAATGTTTGTGTGACATATAAAGGCAACGTCGCCAGCATTTTCGAGTAATTTCTCAACATTTATGAAATAAGCCGAAAGCGTATGTGTTGTCTATAGATGTGCGCACATATGATTCAATTATTTTTCATAATATATATATATATATATATGTGTGTGTGGGGGTGTGTGTGTGTGTGTGTGTGTGTCATGCGTTGTGTTTTTGGCTATTTGTGCCGCATCAAATTCATTCTTATTCGCATTTCCCTTCACATTACAATATTTACAAAGAGAAGTATTTTAAGGAAATCGGTAATCGTTAGTCGCGTCACCTACCCAATGTTCATTGCAGTGGGACACTACGAAATTCTTCGGCGAAATCGTTTTTTGAGCGATCGTTAGCGCATTTGCTGCACCAGCAACAACAACCTATTTAAAAATATTAATATTGGTTAGCTTTAATTTTAGATGTAAATAGTTTAAAAAAAAAAAAAAAAATAAATAAATAAAAATACGTGTAAAGCCATTAAAATAATATACTGAATAGTTTTTGAATGTTATCCTATATATTAAGAACAATAACTTTGTGAATATATTAGTCAGCGACTACTTTATGCAAACTTACTCGTTTATCTAAAGGTCTTATGGTATTACTTTTTATTGTAATACGTTACGCCTACAGATTGATTAAATGCTCCGAATTAAAAAAAGAAGTTGCTCAACCTACGAATTATTCGACGGCAAAGCCACACGTTTCTTCTACTGCTTGCGTCAGCTTGTCCAGCATTTTCTTATAGTTTGGATAACTTTGTGGGATATCAATTCTATTGAAACAAGTGTGCGCCTTTGGTAGATTTTCACTTGGTGCGTCAACAGCATGTATTGTAAATAAACGAGGACCTGCCGCTCCTGTTGATCCTGCAAAGAGAATTCACATAAATGACGTATCTTCGCAAAATCTACTTTTAATATTAATTATAAATGGAGCAATAAATAAATTGTATATAAAAATCAATACAATAAATTACAGTAAAAGTTGCATTAATATACCGACGATGGCAGTAATTATATTAGATTAATATAATCCAAAATTATTGGATAGAAATAATAACAACTATAATATATATTATATAATATATAATATATATATATATATAGAAATAATAATAACTATTGGATGGAAATATATATCTTTATGCGTTAGAGAATATTAAAAAAATATTTCACATTATAGTTTATAATATAAAAATACTGTTTTTTTAGGCTGCAAAGCTATAAGGATTAGAGCAGACGTTGCTCTTGATAATTAAAAGTAGCCAAAAGTAAAACAAAAAGAAAAGAAAAAAAAAGAGACTGATTTTTACTTAATAACGAGTGCGAATGAACAAAACGAAGTTTACCTTGTAAGGCCTTGAAACCTTGTAAAGGAACGCGGGAACTGCCAGTAACGAATTGCAAAAGTCTAGCGCGCATCTCCTCTCCGTACGATTCGACGATCTGCCAGAACCATTTGACGACCGACGTTTCGGGAGTGCAATTTTTTAATCTGGTGTTTTGCTTCCAATCGTTGATGTCAATGGTGCCGAGGCCACCGATGACGAGTTCGAGCTCCCGTTCGTCGAACGGCCGAAGCAATTGGGAGGGTATCAGCTCGTGGAATCCCTTTTGAAGTGCGAGAAACTGCTGCTCGATGCCACGCATAAAGCGATAATTGACATACAGGCGAACGTACTCCTTTTTGTTCTCTTCCGTTACTGGTATCTCTTTGCCACCGGGTTTCAATTCGTGATTCTTGAGGACGCCAAAGCTGCTGTGCTCTACCGAAAACGTTGCATCCAGCACTTCGTCTATGCTGTTCTCTCTAGGCGGCCAAATCGAGAGAAATTATAACGAATAAGTATTTTATTTTCAAATATCTTGCTTATCGCGATAATTACTCGAGACGCGATGACTTTTCAAAAACCCTGGACATTATTCAATTGGCCGGACCAATGATCGATTCACTCGATAATGCATTGCCCATGATAAATCAATTCGCATTATTGTATTAGAAATTTACAAGTTTTGTTTAAAAGCTAAAATCACAGGAAGCTTGACTTCATATCAAAATGTACGACAAATCGATTATTACTTAAAACAAAACAAAAACAAAAACAAAAACAAAAACAAAAAAAAAAACAAAAAAAAAAAAAGAAAAAAGAAAAAAGATAAAAATGTTTTTAATTCAAGCATTAAAGACGTGAATCCGTGTGTCCAAAGACATTGTCATAATGAAAAATCAAACTACGGCTACGCTGTTAAGAAGTTTCATGGTTCGATTGTAAAAATACTTTTGACACACTCGGATAAGGAACTTACAGCATCCACGTTAAACTCCGATGCAGTTCGGGATCTACGCCTTCGATATCGCTAAGCGTTATGGCTTTATTCAATAGCATCTTATAAAAGGGAGTGGTGAAGCCGCCGTCAATGTGATGGCCATGGAAAACGGCTATGCCGATGATTCTGCCAGTAAAGTGAAAGTACGACAGATGCTCGGGATTTATGCCGGAATCGGCGTTTATTTGCAGAGTGTAATTGTCGTCTCTCGAATACTGGAAGAGACCGTACTGGGGATTGAGCATCTCGTGGGACAATAAATACAGCCATTCGCGTGCTACACCGCCATAATCCAAGCCCTCCTCGCCCCGAAACTTCACCATAAGTCGTTTTCTCATATCCTTCGGTCTCATCTTCATTATCAGTCTATAGGATTCCTGTTACGAGATAAAATATATTTTATTTTATTTCCGTGCCGGCAACTTTAAATATTTATCGCTCGTTTTGTCTCGTTGTTAATATACTTTAGTCGCTCCTAGCAAATACTTCTTTTCATCTTTTCGGCTTAAATGACGCAAGGGTTCGGAATAAAAACAACGTACGAATTAAGATGTTTATGCGTGTTCTCATCGTCGTATAATGGATAATGATGGGTTCGTGGGATAATCGATGACTTGTGAGTTTGGTGGTTTGGATAATTATTTTAATGGGAAAGGAATTTGTTTTGACGAGTTCAAGATGAAAACGCTTGAAAATTACTTGATAATCCAGCTTGGTACACACTGCCCGTAATAATTACCTCGAATATTTCGTTTCTCGACACCTCTAATCTGCAGTGCCCCGTCTGTGGCTGAAGTGCATTCAATTCAGCTCTCAAACACTTTAACTTCGCGACCAAGTCTCGCTTATATTTTGGAAGAAGCTCGCTCTCCATCAACTCTTTGGGCAAATCTGACACTGTCTGCCCATTAGGCGTAGGTGGAGTCTCGGCTGAAACGAAATGCACTCGTACAACGTTCTATTTTAAACGCGTGTTAGCTTTAAGAAGCGAAACAACGTTAAGTTTTACACTCACTCGTGGGAGTGTTGTTATTACTTGCGCCGTCGGCCCTTGACCTTTGTTGATTAACATTTTGTGGAGTTGCTGGCGATGCCGTAGGTGTTGTTGAACCGGCTGGCTCCGTCCTTGTCGGCGTTGTTACGTTATTTGTGTTAGTCGGCTGGGCAGTAGTACCATTTTGTCTTCTAGAGCATGTTATGCATTATATATTCAGGAAGTCGCATAAAAATAAATATATACTATATTTATTTCAAAACAAATATCAATTAGATATTAAGACGCAATTGACAAAATGTATTCTTTCATAAGACACAATGCGATGAGACTCGCTACATTAATTTTTATTTTACGACCAATTAACACCTATTAATAATGGCATTTTAATTATTTTGTTAAAAATAAACCACGAAATAAGAGGTGCTTTTTACACATCCTATCAAGGAAAAAGATAATAAAACTAGGCTAAAAGATTTACGGGGAAATATGGCAATTAAGTATTTTTATTTGACAACTGAATTATGTAGTGAAACAATTGTATTTGCGCGTACAAAGTCTAATATATAAGATAATTATGATGTAATTTATTAGATGAAAAACAGTTTAGAACGAATTAATGTAAATAAAGCTGGAGATGTTAAAATGGAAAAATATAGAGAGTCAGTTCATTGTGAACAAGAGAAATTTCGCACACTTCGATTAACATTTTAAGGTTAAGCATTAATATTCATATATACTAATTATGTAAATTTATTGAATGGCAAATGAATTTTGTAAAATTTATTGTAAAAGTATTTACATAAATTTATCGTGTAAATCGCGCCACGCACACACTTTCACAATTACGCGCAAATATATGACCGTAGAGATAAAAACACATGGTGAATAAAGTTTGATTCGATAAAATGAAAAAAAGTGATAAATAATCCCGAAAGGGGAATAAAATTCGTCGACAATATTAGCTTGTCTTTTTATGCAAATAAGCTATCGATAAATAGAGTTAGTAATGTCACATCGTGCGCCTCAAAATGTATATATATATATATATATATATATATATATATATA